CACCCAACCCCACACCCCACCCACACCCACACCCAGATGTGCAACAAACAACGGTCGAACTTTGAATGTTTAAGAAAATATGAATCATCAATTGCATCATATCATAAAACACTGAAATACTTTACAAGTTAGTCACCGATTCTTTTGCATCTTTCGCAGTTGTCTTTCAGACATAAGATAAACTATTGGTGTAATTGCGCATATTATATTCACCAACTTTTGGTGATAATACATTTCATTTTGACTTTCTTCACAAACTTGAGTATATCGTGGAGAGCTTTACTTTGCTGCTTCATTGATACATGAATATAAATATCATTAATGGGAAATAATAATAAGCCGACGAAGGGCCCACCCCCTGTGCAGCAGCCTGGCACAACACCTGTACAACAGCAAGAGACACAGAATCCCGCCGATGATGATGAAGCTGCCATCGCCGAACGTTTGGCACAAGTGAAGCAAATAGTGCAAGCTCTTAGATCTCAGATGGATGATGATTCCAAAGCTAGATGTCTCATGTTTTTTCCTACATCGGGTCGCATGGGCTTTGGCAGGGTTGAAACATCAGACGAACTGCCACCGGTTGAGACATTACGTGAAATGATTGCTTATGAAACAAACATTCGATTATCGGAGTCGGTTCAAGAACTCATGGAATTCTATCATACTAAAGAAGCAGCACTAAGGTAAGTTCTTTTTTTCTTTCTTCATATCTGTTCATTCTAAACTAATTCTAAACATTAAATGAAAGATTTATCATCGATCTCATCCAACAACATGTGGTGGAACATTTTGGCTATCATGACGTCAATGCTTTACGCACTGCTTTGCATCGGTTTCCAAACGATCCCGCTGTGAAAGAAGCATTTTATGGTAAGTTGTGTTAAGAAAACAAGATAAGCAAGTAAAAGTATTCCTATTATAATGAGGAGATATTTTTCAATAGTGTATTATCTTGATAAACCTCATGTAGTACACATTTTATGAAAACAATCCACCGTTTCTGTGTCATTTCATATGACTGTCACATTTTTTCCCCATCGATCCTATATTGTTTGAAATATCCTACAGTGAAATACGCTTTCTCTTCCACTTCTAGTCAAACATAACAAAGTTACTCAAGGTCTAGTTAATCAGGGTCAACCTGTGCTTGACGTCAAGTTGTACACGATAGAAGGTGAACTCACCAATTTGTTTTCACACATCCCAACCAACCAACCACTCATACTCTTGGCTGGTTCGACCAGCTGACCTCCATTTCGGGCGTCAGCTGAGCGAATGAAGTAAATATTTCTAATTATGAACTAGCTATTTTACAATTTTGAATTTTGAATGATTTAGCGCGCTGTTTCGCTCACATGCGTTCGATGGCTTACGTTTCATGGTGATTTATATTGCCGAGGCACATGCACGTGATCAATGGCCAATGGGTAAGACTATATCTTGCGTTGATCAACCAATCACTATGGAACAACGAATTGAAAATGCTCGACAATGTCAACAGCATTGTAAATTTGAGATGCCCATGCTTATCGACACTATGGATAACAATTTTCATCTTACTTATGGATCATGGCCATTCCGGTTCTATGTTATCCAGGATGGCAAACTAGCGTTTAAAGCTGAACCTGACAAACACACCTTCAGCTATCATGTCGATGAACTCGACCGATGGATTGACAATTTTCGTCAATCACATCGTCCTCTTGCTTAGATATGCGTTCATTTCAATTGTTTCATTCATCCATCATTTACAATCTTTCTCCTTGTATTTTCTTCTTTGTATTTATTGATCGACTTGATAGTCCTCAAAAGCAGAAGTCAACATGAACTTATGATAACTATGGATTGAAATCCCACTATGTGAACGTCCACAGTTTGATTCAAATATGTTGTTTTCAAAGAGGAAATCAGCGCGTACACATCTATTAAGTTGATGAATCTATCAGAACAAGAAAAACACAGAGAAGAAATCATTTTTATGCTTGAATATCCGCTTCAATTGTTTGCTAATAAAAATATATTAATTTGAAATTAGTAATGAAAAGAAGACTATGACTATTTGAGAATGCTTTCTCTTATAAATATTTCAAGAAGAAATTGCATCGTTCACATATTTTTGAAGTGCATGCAAAATATGTTGACTACATCAGCCCTGTGATTAAGTAAAAACAAACATATTTTGTTTAGCGCCATTGACAGAGAAAAGTTTTTCGCAGTTATTGCGGTGTATTCAAAGCTATTACTAGCTTTAGCACAGAAACGCGATGCATTTCGAGTCATATTATTTATCATTGAATGATTGTTCTCTTGCATTGATATTATGGCATGCATTTTCAATTGAGCACATGAATAAAGTTGCTGTCATCAATCACAAGAGTCGAGAATCTATGTTTAAAATGATAAGAGCTTCCATCATTCGTGAATCACAGTTTCATTTAGTTCAGACACAAAACACAAATGAATCGAAATATTCAGAGGAACTGCTTATTCAAATAGATATGTGTAGCATTTGTTTGGACGATGGATTTGCAGAAAATTTGACCATCCTTCGTTATCCACAGAAATGTCATCAACAGTTATCATCGATAACGAAAAAAGCACATTTTTATTAAAGAAGACTTGCTTCGAGCAAGAATCTTTCTCAGTTATATCTTAAACAACAAATATTATTTCAGAATAACCTCCCTCTTATCAAGATCTATTCTGAGAGAACAAGCTTGTCGTGGAAAAGAAATATGATATCAAGACGAATGTGTGCATCTAAAAAACGTCTGTCTACTTGAAACTACACTGTCATCAATAGTCTAAAACGGACTTTTTCTTCTTGATTCTAAGTTAACTATAGTGACCCCAATTCGACTGAGATTTATTCTCAATAGATTAAATTATTCACTTCATTATTTTGCATGTACATACTGAGAACCAATCGGTTCTATATTCATTTCTATTAGTGCAAAACCGTTGATATTGAAGTAAAGGCAATATGTGATATTATTCATTGTTTTTCGATTGTAGCAAACAATATACTATGTAAGATAGTTGAATTCTTGAGGGTGTGGGTGTGGGTGTGGGGTGTGGGTGTGGGTGTGGGTGTGGGTGTGGGTGTGGGTATGGGTGTGGGAGCGTGTGGGGTGTGGGTGTGAGCGACAAAAAAGAAGATAACCACACCCGCACTCACATCCGCCCCCACCCACACCTACACCCACACCCCACACACACCCACACCCACACCTGCACCCACACCCACACCCGCACCCACACACCCACACCCACCCACACACCACACCCACACCCACACCCACACCCCACACCCACACCCACACCCAC